TACAACTATATATATATTAATTTTCATGAAATTTATTAAAACCTAGCCTATATACTTCAGTGGGTCAGCATTGTGCCAAAGACACACTAAGAAATATTTTTTCACATTGTTTTTGCAGTGTATTTATTACCTGTAGACCTGCAGCTAAGCCACTGATCTATTTGTAATGAATAAAATTTGCATTATCTGTTTGCCGCATTCAGTAGCCACTTTATTGTATAGTGTAAAACCCAAGGTAGAATAAACATTGATGAGATTCACAAAGAAACAAAAGATATAAGAATGCAGCAAAGGCTTCCCTAAAGTTATTTCCTTTAAGCATGCGGAAGACGACTTCACCAGTATTTCGTTAAATTTCTACTACGCGCAACTAGTGCATCTATTGTTCTGTCCGGTAGTGCTTCGTTAAATTTTTACTACTCTCAACTATTGCATTTATCTAATCAATATAATCAAACTCTGTATAATGGACACAATAAGAGACAAAAAGTATTTAATTTCTTTTAACTATGTTGTCTTACACATATTTGAGGAAATTCGTTAAGTTCGTTATTATATTATATAATTTTTGAAGTGTTATGCAAATATGAAGTCAATACAATAATCATAACTAAACTTCATTGAACTACTTAACTATATTTATTTATTAATTTGGGTCAGTTAGTTAAGGTGCGCTGACTCTAAGCTTCAAATTTGGCAGGGCACGAGTTCGAGACTTGGTACTTGCAGTCTCAAAAAATCATTTACGAATAATTAAATACAAGAATTATTTCCAAGACTACTGATGGTGGGTATTTCAGCTGATGGTCAGGCAAAAATTCAATTAATTAAAATGATATAAAATGAATTTTTGTTATCGAAGGACCTTTATTTATTTATTAAATATAGTAATTGCTGGACAAAATCCAAAATGAATCCAAAATGACTGCAATTAAAAAAACACACTTCATAATATGAACTCACATTTTTTGAAATAACAAAAATGTAATAAAGTCGCAAAATTAAAATTAACTTACAAAAAAAATTGTTAATTTAAAATTTGCAATGTTATGATAATAACATAAATAAAAGTCACAATTATTCGATGTTAAAATATGAAGTGGAAAAATGGAGACTACAATTAAAACAACAATGCGAACGCAATTAAGATAACATAAAAAACAAACCAAGAACAGCTACTATAACAGCGATGCAAATGCAAAAAAAAAAACAATTTTCAATAAAAAAATTGTATGTTATTTATACATACATTTGCGTTTTTGTTTTTTTCTTTGTGTTTTTTGCTTTTAAATGCGCACTGTTTGTTTATTGGTGCGTTTTAGTGTTGGTATAAATTGTTATTATTTTGTAGCTTTACCGCAACAACCCAGCGGGACTTTCAGCGCTGAGGGAATCGATTCCCTCAGCGCTGAATGGTAATGCCTAGCGCTGATTATTCAAAGGAAACTCCTAATTACTTTAACACGTGCATGTCATTGCGGGCAAGCGCTGAATCGTTCGATTACCTTTTCAAATTTGTAATGCAACATTTCAGCGCTGACATGCTCGCTTACTTTTTCGAATTTGTAATGCAACATATCAGCGCTGACATGTTCGCTTACTTTTTCGAATTTGTAATGCAACATATCAGCGCTGACATGTTAGCTTACTTTTTAGAATTTGTAATGCAACATATCAGCGCTGATATGTTCGCTTAAATTTTCAATTTTACCTATGCTATTGATTTTTAAATAAAATACTATAAATTTTTTTGAATAAATTATATTTTATATTTATGTTTTATACAATTAAAACATTAATATTTACATAAAAAAATATAACATACTTATAAAGATGAATATTTTTCTGGTAATTGTTACTAACACCTTGAAGAGATTTCCAGACTCGACTCGATCACTTGTTCCGGCTTACCATCTGTACTTAAAGCATCTGTAAATACAAAAGTATGTTATTGTATACGCTAAAGTTAATTATGTACAATATACCATACCAAAAAGTGCTGCTGTCACATTCTCTAATGCTCTTAAGAACTTCTTGCCTTGGGTACCATTCTCCAAAATTCCAGGAAATTTTTCGCGTAATTGATTGTTTTTTAATAACGCGTCTCATTGATGCAGTCTATAAATAACGTAATAGATGAAAAGAAATGTATGAATTAGTAAAATTGTTACATGTGAATATATTAATAAGTTGAAATTGAAAGTAAGAAACATTTATAATTTAACTTACAACTACTTCAACGGCAGTGATTTCTTCATTAAATTGAATTAAATCCTCCTCAGTTTGAATTGTAAAATTTTCCAATTGAAACAGCTGATTACATGACTACAGCTGATTACCCCTTGCTTTAGAATGACTGCATTCGCAGCACATTGGTCAATTAATCGTTCTTGACGCAGTAGCATCTACATAATACAAAACAAAAATTACAATTATCATTTTAAATATATTTACTTAATTTTCCATATACTTACAGTGAGTTTATGTGAAATTACAAATTATATTTTATTTAAATTTTTGTTTTTTATTTGATTTTAAAAATTAAAAATTGTTCACTGTTCGCACTTCACTAAAATCAAAAGCAGACTAAATGTATACAATGTAGGCAAAACAAGAAATTCTTAACTCATATGCTTTTCTTCTTCATTCTTTTATAATTTCAACCCCGAAATTGCCTATGTCAAACACAAATGTCGAAAACAAAGAAAAATAAAAACGAAGAGCTATTACCTCCTCGCTTACTTTTTCAGCGCTGGCATAATGGTGCCGCTGGGAATGTAAGGAACACACAAACACACACACATATAGCAACAAATTTGTATTCGAATCATAAACAAAAAAGAACAACAACTACAATAGCATCGGCAACGGCAACGGCATCGGCATCGGCATCGGCAACAGCAATCAATTGGAATTATGCTCTGCATTTATATGGCTGAAGTTGCCTTGTTGGCGTTACTAAAAGTATGCAAGAATAAATTTTAAACAATTCTCTTTGTGTGGTTTCATAATTTCGTTGTGTTTGCTGCTATTGTTTTACACGCGTACGCTTACTAGGCGGCTGTTGCCGCCGCTAATGTAGTAGTTAAACCAAAACTTTTGTTTGTTATTGTTGTTGTTGTTGTCGTTGTTGTTGTTGTAGTGTGGTTGATTTCAGTACTTGCAATCGTTAGTTGTTGTTGGTTGCTTCACTCGCACTTTAATTCCAGGCCATTAATTGCAACGAATTCAATAATATGTAAAGCAGTGCTCTGGAGTTTGTAGTGTTGCAATTAAATTATTTTAATTGAATGAAATTTATATTGGAAATAAAACTAAAAGCTTTCAACTTTTATAAACAATATTTATAGTGAAGTACATATAGTAATTTTTCATTTCAATGTAGTATTCTCTCTCTCTCTGTCTCTCTAGTATGTGAAGCGCGTGGATTGCATTTGTTTTTACATCTGCTTTTAATTTAAAATTATATTTTTATATGAGACGTGATGAGACATGGCTGTTAGCATTTCAAGTAAATGTGTCATTTAGATATATGTACATATATGTATGTGGTCTGTGGACTTTAAGTTCATTTATAATAAAATATAACATACAACTTTTTTTATACACAAATATAGCTTCATTTTAAATATCACAAACAAAATTTTCAATTGATCATGACAAAAAAAAAGATTCTGGAATTAAATCCCTAATAATAAAATATCAATGCAAAAAGCCAAACAACAACTACACATGAAAGCTACAAAAACTGAAATACATAACTTCAGGATTTGAAAACAAAAAACAACTTTCAACTGCATAAAAAGTTCAAATATTCAGTGGGAAAAACAGTTTAAATGAATTTTAAAATCACACGAAAATTCAGAAATGTTCTGAGGAGGGAAACATGCAAAGAGTCAAGTCAAATCGTGAGTTCAAATATCAAAAATAGCGAAAATTCCCAAACGTCATGCATAAATGGAATGCTAGTGTTTTGCTTTTGCTTTTGTTTCTGTTTTTGTTTTATTCATTTTCATTGTACATTTCTTTTCTTTTTATTCTATTTTTTTTTTTCAACTTCTAGTTTGATTCATGCAGTTTTGTTTTTGTTTTTCCCCCATTCACTGTGCCTAGTAATAGCAAATCTCTTTATGTTTCGCTGTCGAACGTGCAACTTGCAGTTTTTGTAAGGTACACAAGCATGCAGCATGCAGCATGCTGCATGCAGCGCACCACACGCTGCATGCAGTTGTATTAAGTATTGACACCCAAAATGCCGCATGGGTGGCATACAGTGTGTAGTGAGTGAGTGCGTGGTGCGGTGCGGTGCGGCGTGGTGTACAGCAGGCAACTTTCCACAAGTGCAATATTTTACTTAATATTTGCATACGTTACCGTTAACTTGGAGCTTGGTATAACGGATAAATCCACTGCCGGTATTGATGTTAACAAACCACTCGGATACTTTTTCATGCGACTTGGGAAAAAAGTCGATTCCACACCCTGTAACCATGAGAAATACAACAGCGTAACAGCAAGGAAAGTCATTACAAAAATACACACAAGCACACAAGCACACAATCATGTACACAAACATACATACATACATACATAGAATCATTTCAAGGATATGTGCTATGGAGAGTGCATGCTGGGCATGTTGGGGATGTTGGGAATGTTGGGCATGTTGGGCTTGTTGGATTTATTTTTATTTATTGTTTTTATTAATCACAAAATATTATTGAAAAACTATAAAACTTATACGTATATGCCACATACTGGAGGCTGCATACCAAGTTAAAATTTGTTTTTATGTGTTCGTACGTACGTGTGTACGTATGTGTGTATATCTCACCATTTGTGGATTTAGGTGAAGCTGATCTTGTATATGAATACCTAATATTGGATTACTAATAAAGATATGCATTTTAATTGGTACAATTTTAATATGAACAAATAGCTCGAAGCTGTTATATCCACAAGAACACAGGAGCATATAACTTACTTAGTTGACTTATTCACACGTGAGTGGCCCCCTTGCACACCTTCTCTGGAGCGTATAAGTAACACATAAGAATTTTGAAGTCTATCAGGACCTTTAAGTTGCATTAAGTTTTGCCTTTATGAAGAAAATGCCTAACTGACTGGCTGACCGCCACAAAAATATTACTAAAGATATATATATGTATGTAAAACATAAGCTCAATTTAATATTAATATCTTAAATGACTTTAATAAGATTAACAAAAAATAGAATAGAATTGAGAGAATTAAATATACACAACGTAATCACGACCTCTTTGACCGCCGTCTGCTGACTGCTGACTGCAACTTAACCACTACTACTACTACTGCTTGACTACTTAACTGCTTGACCGGCTTATATAATTTTTTTTGGTTTGATGTGGTGAGAAGGTGGAGTGCTTTATGCACCGTCAAACCCTCTGCAGTTTAACCGTCCGGATGGTGTGGCCGACTGCGTAGCATATTAATATGTAGTATATAGATTAAAACACTCCCTCTTCGGAGAAAATTATTCCTCCCGGAAACGCTTTCGCATTACTTCGGGAAGAGTCCATCTTCAATTCTAGCATTCAATTCTAAACCATGCTCTTTTAATTTATGATCTGCGTTGAAATTTATATATATAGTATCAGAGAATATTTGTATCGCATAGCTACAAAACAGTGCTAGTATTGGAATTCCTCAGAAAGGCAATTTAGATAAATAAAAACCCGACACCTATACCAAAAACACTTTTATACAAGGCAACAAACAAACCCAAGCGGCCGCAGAAATAGTTAAACGAAAACTGAGCTTTAGAAACTATAGAAGTACAGACATAGCTATATCATAGTAAACCCATGTTAAATTTAGGATGAATATTATCCTATAAAAAATAAAACTTGTTCGAAAATAACTAGGGCTAATAAGAAATGACTGACAGCATCTTTTGGCTGTTGTATGTGCATATTAAGCACAGCAGTTATTAAAGTATTGTCAAATTTTCATTACATTTTGACGAATAAGAAAGGAGCTATGACAGTGTCTTTGAGTTATCGGAGGAGTGAACAAGGAAAACTGTGTTTTAAACTTAGTCAAACTCTCACCGAAGTGTATCAACCAAGTTTACGGTGATGATTATATATCAAGTAGCAGCTTTTACGAAACTAGTTAACCGAAATCCGTTATGTCCACATATTCCATTAGAACTATGGTATACGAGAATTCATCAAATATTATTAGAAATTTTTATTATAATTCATGAGATTAGAATTAAGTATTTCAAAAACAACTGACAACTTACCAACTATCACTTACCGATAGCATTCTCATTATCAAAGTATTTTGTGGATGTAGAGGCTAACCAACCAAAATATTCGAATTCCTGTATGATATTCCGGCTGGCAAGAAAAAGTGGGTGGGAAATGTGAATGTAGGAAGTCTATGAAATGTCGCTAGATATCAACAAATAGTGTAAAATATTTTCTATTTCACACAATTTTGAAGGCCTGTTTAGGCTTTTTATTCTTTATTCTTTTTTTCTATTAAATTTGGTCTATTCTGGTACTAGGTACACTTACAGTCGGGCCTCTACATTGTTTTTATTTAACACATGGAAATTAATTTCTGTGTCTTTAAAAGAAAACGGCCCTAAAAAGCATATGGAATCAAAATCAGAATGAAATGAAAATAGTTGTCTTCAACGTTTTCGTTTATAAATTCATTAATACAAAAAGTACCATTGCTATCATCCACCTCTGTAGATACTTTCAGTTTCGACTTATTTTATTTTTCCTATTATCCTCTGGAATATTTATTTCAACATGTTTGTTTTCATTCAAAGAAGTTCTATTAATGTAAGTAAAATATTTTCATTATTTCATTCCTTCACGTCAAAGAAACCTTCTAATAGCTTCTTTCACATAATTTGTCTCAAAAGAGTTTATAAGTTTGTCGAACTCAATTTTTTGTTTTAATTTACTTTTCTAGTTAGCTCAAGACATTAAACGATGGTTTTTAAAACTTAACACTAATAGCTGGAGAATAACAGAGAAGACTTAAAAGAACACATTTGACTTCGCTTTTGTGCTCCAAAAAAATTTTTAGGGTATTAGAATACTTAATATACTCATTGCAAAGGACATATATGCATGTTTTTTGTATGTGTCACACTTATATATATAAATATATTAGAAAATCTATGAGGAATATCAAGGTTCTTTTTAAAAAAATGTAGCCTTTTCCTTATTTAACGAAAGAATAATCCATTGACTGTTAAACAATATATCTTATAAATTAATATATTTATAATAGTATATAATTTCCATGAAGAAAAACATGTGAAAGAGGTTGTTGTATTTTTCAGGCAACATATTCACCGGCCAAATTAGGTAAACCCTCCAAAATGTTACGAAGAGTACACAGATAATGATACCGTTTAAATGTCGGTTGAAAGTAAGTAAGATAACAGAAATGTTTTTTTGAAAATATATCACATTACGACTCCAAATTCCAATGGGACCTTTTTTCATAATATATCTTGGGTTTGAGCATATCAGGGAAGGCTATAAAAAAGCTTGAGTCTTATATTCAAATTAACTAATAAAATCTCTTTAATCAAAACTTATAATATTCAGAACTATTTACACGATACCCATGTCTTATTGCAATATTCCCGGTATAGACTGCATTAGAAGGCTTAGAAATTTTGAATCTTCCTTTAAATCTCGAATTAATATTAAAAGTCTGAGGCAATCTGAAGAGCTTATTTAAGTCAACAACAGAAATAAGGACAGCTTTCTTAATCTACGAACCCTTTACCGGGTTTCGACCTGACACTCCTTCTCCACTGTTATAAATTAAGTCCAGTTAGTGCTCTTTCAACGTAATCGCTCCACCGGGTACACGGTCTATCTTTATGACTTCTTCCTGCAACTACGCTTCAAATATTTTTTTCGCTAGAACATTTTGGTCCACTCTCAAACCAGTGAAGCTGCTGATTTATATCAATGTCGTGATAAAGCTCATACAGTTCCTAGCTCATTCGGATACGGTAGTCATCGCCAACTCAATAATTTTTCCCTCTATCACTCCTAGTGCTGCTTCATTATTCTGCAAAAACGTCCGTGCTTCTGTTCCATGCAAAAGCACAGGTACGATGAACGATCTATATAGTTTTGTTTGTCGAGTGAGAGTTCTACATCCCAATTGCCTAACGAACCCTACTGGCCTACTGGCGATAGTGATCTTTCGTCTGATCTCCAGGCTGACATTGGTGTTGTTCGCTACAATGGCGCCAAGAGAGATGAAATCATTGACAGATTCAAAAGTGTGGTCTTCAGCCATTACCTCAGCATGCAAGCGACGCACATTTTAATCAATAACTGACATTTACTTTGTTATACCTCATTCACCGCTAAGCCCATTATTTGCAGATTCCTTTTCGATAGCAACAAATACAACTTCAATATCCTTTGTGTAAACTGACTCAATGTATTGCTTTGAATTGCTTAATTTCAACATGGAATTAGAGGTGTTGCTGACATTTGTAGATTTTATGAAATGCTAAGAACAAATATACCGAACTGATGAGCTTCAGTATAGTGATTATCGGGGAAATTAATCTAGGGCCGTCTCTGACCTCTAACACACCGAAAGGGATGTAGAAACTTGAATTGCCTTAAACAATGTCTGATGATGGAATACATCTTATGTAAAGCGTTACATTGCTCTTGCATCGCTATATCAGAGTCGTTCTAGTAATATTTTAAAGTTAAAAAAAGGAAAAAGAGGAACAACTTTTCTATGATTTTCTGAGCACGTAGGAGCAGAATTTCTAGTTATTAAAAAACCAATTGACTTGAGATGAAATTTAGAAAGTGAATCTTATTGCGACCTTCATTTATAAAAGAAAACAAAACATTAAAGGAAAGAAAAAAAAAGGAATAATAAAATAAAAAACAAAATAAACAAACTTGAAATTATATGAAAGCATTAAACCAATAAAACATAATTTGCTGCAGAAGAGAAACTCGAATTGGAAACCGAACCGGATGCAATGAACTTGAGCTTCCGTTTTTGTTATAAAAATTCTTCTAAAAAATATATTGGAAAGATGGCAGCATTAGAATACCAAGAGGACTATGGCAATAGGAATAGAAAGCCCTATTGAATGTCAGTAAATAGATGCTTCATGGAAGGTAAGAGCAAATTTTTGTTTTTGTTGTTGAAGCTACAAACTCATGCACGTACAATTTGTGCAACAACAACAAAAAACAACAAACAATAGATAAATATTAACAAAATGGCAAATCAAGAAACAGAATCCAGTATAGTCCATTGGACAATGATTCTCAGAAAATATACCAAGTCTGTCAAACTTACCCCTAAACACACACACACACACACACACACATTCGAAATAAGAACATTGAGATTTCGTACGTAAAACGGAAATATGCGTCAAATGCAGAACGCATTGGAAAACATAAAAAACAAAATTAATAAAAAAAAATAGCAATAAAAAATGTACAAACAAAATCACCAAAAATCAACAAAATTGACAGCAATCAGTGCAAATATTGCCTCAATGCTTGAACAGTGCGCCCTAATTCAATAGTCAATCCAGATAGCACCACCCAAACTGCAAATTTCAATAGCACCGAGACCGACAACGCAATCGCAATCGCCAGCACCATCGAAATCCACATCACCGTCATCAAAACCATCATCAACTATATACCATATACATATGTATAACTGTATAAATGTATAAGCACCGGGATAATACTTCTCAAAAAAGAGACATACAATAACCTTAACAATGTGAGAAACACTGGCGGTAGCTGGAAAAAAAACATTTTTCACACGAAAATGCAAACGAACTCACCTCAAGCACGACACCCTCCAAGGCAGGCTGCGAAATGTTCTTCATGTTGGTGTGATTCAATTTTGGTGCGCTGTCGGCACGATTTCGTCCCAATGATTGATTTGAAGTTTTGTTATCGGCCTTACTGAGTACCGAATTATTTGAGGATTTGTGATTTATTTCCAATGCCGAACGCAAAATATCAACTTTCGAAGCACTTCCAATTCCTTGCTTAGGCACACGGATTATCGATTCCACATTGTAGCTGCTGCGACGATGTGACAAATGGTCATGTATATCAGCCTTAACAAAGAGATATAATATGATGTATTCAATGTTAATACATTAACAAGAATGAATTCAATATAAATTATTTAAATAAAAAATATATTTTATATAAAGAAATCTTAATTATCACATCAACATACATCGTAACGAATAGTCTATTTTTGTAAATCTCCTATATCTACATCGCACTACATATCACACATTATCTCCACAATTTGACACAATACTTATAAGCCAAAGTCTGTCCCTATAATGTAGATTAAGCCCATCATACAAAAATCTTGATACTAATATTATAATTATGCGCTCAAGAGTACACTACTCCTTTTTCTAAAACCTAAAACATAAATTATTTCCTACCTACTGTAGAATTTTACCAGTATTTAAGGGCGACGAATGCATCTTTACAGACTTCCGGCTTTTTATAGGTTTTAACACCTATTATATCTAGATGAAGTAGAGATATTTTTTCTAAAGAAAGCACTAACTGTTTTCTGCGATGAAATGTGTGATGTGCATGCGCACACCCACGCGACTAACCACGTTCCCGCTATGGAGTTGCCACCCTTTACAGACATATATTTTGTGTATGCACATATATATATGAACGGAATAAGTTAACCAGTAATATAATTTTATTAATTTAAATATTGTAATTAGTCAATTTACTAAGATGCAGCTGGAAGTATGCACAGAATTAAACTAAATTACTGACTATAGCTCAATAAGAAGAAGAGAAACTTCAATTTGCTATAATCGATAGATTTATATACCTTTATAAATAATTAATAATTAATTGATACATAATCGAAAACAAAAAAATTATAAATTGTTTATTTTTGTCTTCTATCTAAATATTTTATGCTTTTTTTTTCATTTCACTAACCGACTAGGACCCTGTTCCAAACTCTTTATTAGTCCATTGTCAAAATAAAATTTTCAAAAAATTAATGATTCTATTATATTTATAGGAGATTATTATTAAAATTAATAGATTGGATATAGATTAAGTTAGATATAAATTTTCTCTAGCTCATTTGTATTTCATTTTTCTACTAACTTGTCTTTAAAATTTTTTTAAAATACGTAATATTAAAGTAAATTATTAGCAATTTATAAATCTTACTCTTGAGCCTCTTGGCAATGATGTCAAACTACCAATTTGATTATATTTTATCATCAGACTGAGTCGTTCCAGCGACATTGACGTGCCTTGCTCTTTTGTAGCCGGCTCAGTTAATTTATCCATTTCACCACTTTCCATACCTTCGACATCTTCTTCTGACTCATCGATATTATGATCGAATTTACGTAGCCATGCTAAATGTAAAATACCATATGCAATACCACCAAGCACAGCCAATGTACCCATATAACGAAAAGCATCTCTTGTGCCAAATTGGCCAATTAATAAACCGCCGGTGAAAGAACCACTTCCACGACCTGAAAATAATCACAATAATAATAATTGATTGTATTCAAACTTTCCAGTGGTAACTGTTTTTCTCATGGTGTATATTCAAAGATATAGTCCGAGAAAATGATATAGAATGGAGTAGTCTACAGTGTTTCTCTTAGCATTGAAAAGTCTTTGTGATATATTTAATGTTAATACTTTCGACTAATAAATAACGCCTAACAATTTCAATGTGTCATAGTTATCTTCTAACAGTTTTTCTTAGTTATATAAGGTAATTACTAATATATATTTTTCAACTTGGTATGTTTTCTGATGAATAAAGATCTCAAAATCTCTCTTCTCTATTCTTATTACTTGTTCCAACCGCTACCTACTCGTAATACTTAATTTATAGGTTTATTAGATATCATCCACAATTTTGTCATAATAATTGTGTCTATTATTACAATCATACAATTCTATCATAAATTTGGGTAATATGTAATATAATATATGGTAAATAAACTTTACCTGGGTGCTAATTCATAAACATACATCGTAAGTCAATGAGCCTCATCAAGCCGTTCAAGAATGTATATAAATTTTATGCTACAAATATATTGTCAATTTTATATATTCTACTCATACTGAAATACTAAAATATGAATCGCTTAAAAAGCTTTTTTATTGATATATTTTACAAACATATATACAAACAAATATATATTAAATTATTTTATAATAAAAATGATTATGATTTTCAACTACCTTTGAGTATGTCAAATTAGTCATAACTAATCATCATAAAATTCTTGGAACATAAAAAATGTTTAGAAACGTTACACTCATAAAAGTGCTTCAATGGTGCACAAATGGAGTCATTGCTAATTGCTTTGAATTTAAAAAAATATTTCAAATTTTCCCATTATTTATTGAAAGCAGTTATTATTTTCAATTTGATATTATCTGTGTGGCAAAATTCATTGAAATTTTGTTAAATATTTATGATGGTATATAAAATATAAAGTCGCGTTCGTACACCTCCCGACTAAGGTTTACATATGTACACTCAGAAAAATATGCTCCAATTACACACAAGTTAAATTGACCTGATCATTTTGTGAGAATAATTTTAGGTCGTGTGATAAAGAAGATATGAAATAACATGAAGCGTAGAGTAAGAAAATTTTGACCTGTGATTTTGTTAAAATCTAATGAAATCAATTAAATTATTTTTCTGAGTGTAAGTGCACTCCATAGCTTTTATATGAAGTTAATTTTATTATTCAATTTGTACAAAAAAAGTGCGCTTTTTATTTCCTGATCGTATTAATAATAATAACAACAACTCAGCAATTCAACACACCACCACTCATATATATAAAAGCACAACATATTTACTTTTTCGAATCAATATCATTGATTCGTTGTAAATAGTGCAGTTGGCGGTTGCCTGCATCTTGTGATTCGCAAGTATTCCTTATGATTTCATCGAAAGCATAATGATTCTTTTGTAAACTCCCTAGTACGTTTGTGATCCTTGCTCTGCTTATTCCCTTTATCAACCCCATACCCACCTACACGACAACCCTTCCAACTACATCTATCTATAAGGTAGTTGAATATGCAGCAATTATGACTCGTAACTGTCAATACTTCATCATAAGAGTTTTACCCAATGTTGATATAATACAAAAGAATCTATACTCTCGAATGCATCTTTAAAAGTTTTAGTGTATTACATCCCGATCCACCTCCACACGTATTTTCCAAAGCTCAATTTAAAAGATGTGAAGTACTTGGATGGAATGTGTGCATTCCATCACAATTTCAAATTAAATGCAGAAAAATCGAAAATTGCTTAATTTATTTTATAATTTATTGGATTTCTTCGAAGAATTGCATATAAATTAATTAATTAATTAATGTATAACTTATAAAGATTAATGTAAAAAAATATACGCGTATGAGTCCTATAAATCCATTAGCATTTACATGTGGACACATGACAAATACACCAGATTTACTCGAATGCAATTTCTCGTTCAAATACCTACAATGCATAATATTGACTAATATGGACTCCCTGTTCAATCTATCAATTTTGTCTTTAATTTTCAAGTAGATTTCCCTATTTTTTCGCCCCCTGCACATTCGTTACTCTTAGTTTTTAACTTTCCATGAGTTTCCATGAGAGTGCCTAATGGATTTAACAACTGCCGTTGATATGAATCGGCTGCATTATGAAATGCCATTGTGTACCTTACAGTTCAACGAAATTGATTCGAAGGGGTCCATTGTATACCATGAGTACCTTACATTTGCTTTTTTACATTTGAAAACCATTTGCCGAAATTAAAAGTGGAAAAAAACTCTGTAAACTGTAAACTGTAAACTCTCTAAACTGAACTACTTCTTTACATTGTAAGTAATTTAGATGCAGTGCCGTAAATACAGAAAAAGTTTCAGGGACGTATTAAATTGGAAAAAAAATCTTACCCAAACTGAAATGTGCCATGCCCAAAACACCAATCAACGTTGCTAATAAACTCTTTGGTGCCAAAATGGAACAGTATGTGGCAGCCGCCACCCACATCAGATGACAGCTTAGTGCCTCCATTGCTTCGAAGGGGAAACACCACCAAGCATTTCTGCAATTTGAAAAAAAAAAAATTTAAAAAGTCCTCCACACTATTTTCTAAAGTAATTAAGATATCGTAAATGTTCTTATTACGATTAGGACTTGATTCCATTTATTAGTCAAAGAAGCAGAACTGAAGAAAACTACTCATAACATTTACTCGTTGCATTTCACCGTTACATTGTATAGGAGTTCCATAAAGGCAATGGTAGAGCCAGCAGAAGAGGAGTGAGCAGTAAAACCTGAAGTCTTAGGTTCAAAGCCCATCACGGATGAAATTTTTATTCCCACTTTTAGTTTTTTACGTTTTTTACGTTTTCTGATGCTGAATTCGTGCATCACATCACGACGAAGTGGAATGGAATAACTTTATATTAGAAACGTTTTACTTTTAAATTCTATTTCAATGTTGAAATGTGCAAGAAAAAAATTTTGATTGAAAAAGGCACATTTAATTTAAAATGAAAAATTGAAAAAGAAAAATACACAATACACAATACACAATACGTACTCGATAAAGGAGTACCCAACTAGGCGCCCAGCATGTGAGAAGAATGCAATAATGATTAAGTTGACATGTCCAAACAGTTTTGTGATTTTTTCTGCTGTGTACAAAAATGGAATACTGCTGACGGTTCCCACAGTAATGGTTATGCCTAAAATAGAAATAAAAATGGTGATTTATAAAAATAAAAACTTTAAAAGGTGGAAAATTCAGGAGGCAACTCACCAAGCAAATAATTGGGCGCTCCTAATTCCTTCAAATAGAGGAAGAGGAAACTTTCAATAAAGCCCCAGAAGTTTCCTAGTACAAACAAAAAGCTCACGAATATTATGACATGTGGCATTTTCAATAAGTTCCACAGATCACGGAATACATTGTCAGCTGGTAACTTTTCACCCAAAGGCATAGCCATTACCGATAGTGTTGATATAACTAGCAGTATATCATATGTGTAGAAAGCGGCCGAATAGTCTGTATAACCCAGACCACGTGAGAAATAATCGATCATAATACCAGTAATTGGCGAAAAAATAGCCATGCCAATACTGGAAAATAAACGTTCACGACCAAAATCCCCACCATATTTCTCAATCATAGTCAAAGCAATGGGATCCATTATTGTCACACCAGCCGATAACATAGTGGTAGCTAAAAATCTCAACAGGAAGTATATGTAGAAAATGGTATCATCAGTTTCCTTATAATCAGGTGGACAAATTTCTGGGGCATTCATTGTAAAGCTACAACGTTGCACCATGCAACGTACTGTTTCATTTGATACATGTGATATATTTGAACGTCTCACTAAACCACCACAACGTATGTCCAACTCCTCCAAATCGGTAACATTAATTTGCATTTGCACCAACAGCTTCTCGCCGAAACGCTTCTTAAAATCCGTCACAGTTTCATTATCATCGGATTCAATCTCCATACCCAACTGTTCTATGGGATCAGCTAAATCAGGGTGCATTTCCAACATAAAGAATGTCGCATCATTATTGTCCGAGTGCACCCAGCTCTCGTATGTTTTTTTTACATTTTCGGAAAGCTCTATATAGAAAGAACAAATAACATAATTCAATGGAAAGTAATTGAAAGGAAAACACCTTAAAATTGTTATGCACAATTGAGTTGTTGTGTTTATTGTAATGTCACTGTCCTGGCATTTCTGCAATTGCACTGCGCTCGACTAACTACTAATTTAATAAATTCTCAAGTGTGGCAAACTCATTGTGTTAAAATAGTGCAATAGCACAGCGCTTATTCAACGTGCTTCATAGTACTGCCGCTTTTATCGGTGCTTGTTTATAGCAACAGGAGCGCAACTTTAATGCCAGTGCACAAAACAACCACAACAACGACAACAACGACAACACCAACAACAACAATAAAATGCAATCAACAGCCATGAATGGATGCCATGCAATTAAAAGAAGTGTACGAAACAAGCACTTACGATTCAAACCCTCTTGCAGCATGGACATTGCTGGTGCGCCTGTCATCTCTGGCGGGAACATTGTCGATGACATATTAAGTACATCTTCATATTTACTTTTTGCTGTTGAGGAATGTGGTCCGGCAACACCAGTACCAGTACCAGTACCAGGAGAAACAAATGGTGCTGACGAAGCTGGTGGAATTGTTGCGGTTGTGGAATAAAGTAATGATGTTGCTGCCGTTGTATGTGTTGCCAATGCTGACATTGTTGCTGGGAGCAAGTTACTTGTCGTTGTTTCTTCATAATTTTCAGTTGGTGGTAAGTATAGTTTGGTATTCTGCTGCAGTAGACAATAATCCACACATTGATTTACAGCTAATTCAAGTTGAGGTTCCTCTGGGCATTCGCGACTAGGGCACGGTGACCACCAAACCTAAAAAAATGCAGTAAAAACGTAGATTAGCATTTTTTTTGATGTAAACAAATAATTGAAATATCTACTTCTCGTCGAGTTGTGTGGGCGTATGAAGTGTAAATTCATTAATTTGGGTTCGTTGTTGATGGCGATTTTTTGGATCAGAAAGGAAGAAAGATGAATGAAATATTAGTTTCTCAAAATCCACATTTAAGTCGTAAAATCAGTTCTTAAAAACAGTATTTTTGGTCTGCCGAAACTTTTGTGTGGCAATTTGGTTCAAAGGACAAGTTTTGGGTTTTGGAATATGATGAGTGATAACGAGTCTGATTTGGTTTTCATTTATTTTGTTCATTGTTTACCATGCCATAGATACATCACATAATACTATGCTTATAAGTAATATAGCATATCAAATTTGGATTGCTCACACAAATTGCATACCATCTCTATGAATATACGACTGAATACTATTCAATGTGATATACATGAAAAGAAAAAGTTAACCATAGATGCGCTGAAACTTTAACACCCTGTACGAGTAATTACAAATTACTTTAGAATTATATGATACAGAAAATCGATTTTACTCTATTTTTATTATTTATTCACAAAATGTTGTTATTGCAAAGCTTAATTTAACTAAGTTAAAAACGTAAATCACAGTTTTTTGGTTTATCAACAAGCATATAGATTCGATTCAACACAAATGATCCAAAAATGCTCAATCCCAAAAAATTATGAATAGTCGTCTGTTGCTTCGCTATGACCACAGACAAACCCATTCTTTTGACATCGTAGCAGGATGTTATGACTTTCAGTCAGGCTGCCCAGTAGCGAATAAGGCCTGTTCTACCAAGAGACTATGTCTCCTTGCTATAAAATAAACACACCAACTCTCTTACAAAGTTGTTTGTGAACAACCAATTCATCAGAATTGGTTCAGCATGACCAGTCACCCAATCGCTGCAGCATGTCATGGCTTGCGAAGGGAAGGAAATGAGTCAACAAACGGCTTCACTTGTCAATACATGTCAGTTACTGGTCAAGGTGTAATGCATAATACGAAATCTAAATGGAGTAGATAATAAAACTTCTAAAATTTTCGATTGTTTGTCTAACAATCATCACACCACCTTTCGGTAGGAAGAGTTTATCTTCAATATCTTCCTCCTATCTCTAGGCAAAATAGGGTTCCTCTATACAAAGTAAAAACAATTCTTGTTAATATCCCAATATATAATTAATGTACAGATTTTTACTTAAAGTCTCATTATTAGTGCTGATGGTCATTAACAAATGTCTATATATACACGATGATGTCACCTCAAAATTTCTATAGAGAAAAGTAATTACAATTACTTAATTACTTGCAGAAATGAATGACTTATTAACTACGTTCATAGAAGATAGAACATACAATTTATTAAAGGCTTGTTGATTTCATTCACATTAATTACATGAATGTAACGTAACGTAAACTCTATAGGCTTTCTAGTTGGAAACACAGGAACCTTTACAAGTTTAAGTAAACATTCATTCAAATAGGAGGAGAACTTTCTTCAGCACAATTTTACCGGATTACTGCGAAATTCTGAATATTCATGCAGTATTAATTATTCGAAACTGCATTTGCAAACTGAATTTGTGTGAAAGAAGCATTGAGTGTGCCATACATTTCGGATTAAGAGAGAGAGACACTATCGTAATGGGCCAAAAACAAATGCAAAAATATATTGAAAATTCAATTAAAAAAGCAAGGAGCGTACGAGTAAGAATTCCGTGTAAAATGGACTAGTTTGCATGTTGTTAGATATGCAAATCGTTCATGTGCGCTCGCTCGCTTAACTTACTATGCAATCCAATTGAAGTTCTGACCCAGAAGCACACATTTCCACTGGCTGACATCGGTTTTTAGTACATTTTTTTCAAGCAGTGGCGCCTCATATCTTACCCCCTTCCCATTCCTATTCCCATTCCCATTCCCCTCCACACACCGCACACTCCTGCCCGTATTTATTGCCATCATATGGCATATGGAACATTGAAATTTTCACATTGCACTTACTTTGGCTCCATTTTATATTTTCATTTGAACTGCCAAAGTTATCTGAGTTTCCCTTTTATGCATAAATAAATTCAGATACAATTGCAGATTTGCATTTATTTTAATTTGTTTTCTTTCGGTTGCTGTTTGCAGTCGAGTATGCAAAGTAACACAGCAATTTGTCTATTGCATCTGAGCTGCATCACGTCGTGCTGCACACAAACACTCACTCGTATGCACGCAAATCCTAAAAGAATGAATTCAAACGTTTTCGTATACATTATGTATTTATGTATATGTTCGTATAAAGAGGGTAGATATAATGTTTTCCCATTTACGTGAACTGTGATGAAGCCACAACCAAGTTTTGTGTTATTTACAGAAGTAAAAATAATATTGCTTTCACTTCATTAAGCCGCATTTGATTTCGAAATCACTGACCCCTAAAATCAAACTGCATTTCGGATTTTTCTAGATATGAGATCAGAGTTTAGACACTGGAATATGTATGTATATATTGTGTATATCTACATGTCAGAAGATGATGGCACTCGGCTATTATGATACTGTAAGACAAAATATATTATATTATGTGGCATATCGTTCAAGCATTTTAGTAGAAGGAATCAAGGTTCGTTTTATTTTAGCATTAGCGCAGAAGTTTTTCCACGGCATATACCTTTTCAAAACGGAATCAATACTTCAAGTATTTATTTGAAAGTATTTATTGAAGGTTTAAATTAAAAATTTACTTTCTATCCTATATCCTATAGCGTTACTTGTTAGTAATGAGTCTGTCTCCAGTCAGAGAAAACTTAGAAAAACTACTATTCCATTAATCGGACGACATATACCGTCCCAAAACGGAATCAGCGCATCAAGTATTTATTTGAAAGTATTTATTGAAGGTTTAAATTAAAAATTTACTTTCTATCCTATATCCTATAGCGTTACTTGTTAGTAATGAATCTGTCTCCAGTCAGAGAAAACTTAGAAAAACTAATATTCCATTAATCGGACGACATATACCGTCCCAAAATGGAACGGGACGGTATATGCATCAAGTATTTATTTGGAAATATTTATTGAAGGTTTAAATTAAAAATTTTCTTTCAAAGAATAGTATTATCCTTTGTATCCTATAGGTATCCCATAGCGTTATACTTGTTAATAATGAATCTGTCTCCAATTGGAGAATACGTAGAAAAACTACTATTCCATTCCATTAATCGAAGCCTTTAATAATTGGTAGAAAAGTGTTTACGGATTAGTTTTCAATAACAGCGCAAACATTTAAGCAAACACTTAAATGTTTCAGTTTTATAAATATATTTATGAAAAGCTTTTATGCCGTAAAATTCTAATTTTCTGTATTTACATAAAATATATTAAATTGTGCCTTTGTTTGAATAAATTTACATTTTCAGATAAATGTGCATATATGCAACGCATTGCATACCAGATTAATAAGTGCACTTATAAGAAATGTGTATTGCATTCCATTTGTGAGCTCGCATGCAGCACTCAACATACATCATACACCATAAACCGTACACCGTACACCCACACCGTACAGTACTCAGGACTCAGCTCGGATTCTTATCCTTATAAATATAAATTGAAACAAAATAAATGAATGAATGAAGTTCCTGCAAGAAACTGCCGACTTGCTTTGGATGTGGTTTCGTTTGCAATCATAAAAATATCTATTTATTGAACTAGAGTTAACATGATTTTATTACATATAGATTATATACATTGGTGAGTGCAATATGGAACAAAGAATGCATAAATAAGGACTTACACACAAAAGGAATTGTAAAGGATTAAATTGTGCCTTGCGGTTGGAAGAGTAAAAGCAATTATGCGAAAGGAAAAATCAATTATTAATTATTATTGAAATATTCTTAAAATTTGGATTTCCTTTCAGTGCAGTATTTTCATTTACAATTAAAAGCAAATATAAACAATATTTACGCTAGAAAGGACAAACAAAAGGTAAACAGAATATATGCATCGATTGCAATAACATGCAAAATCCTTATATAAATTCTTAAATAGGTAAGAAGTCAACAATAGAAATTAATTCCAATTGATTTGAGCAATTTCATGATTTCACACCACAAAATGTGCAAAATTAAGTAAATAATTATCTTAATAAGCTTCTAAAACAATACTGAATACTTAATACTTAACAATTCATTTTAGTTCTAGTCAAGCATAAACTCTCAATACTAAGACATTAATTACGCTTAATGATCTCTAAGGACTTCTAGATGCTGTCCAACATGTTCTCATTACTTCACGTCGAGCTTTGTAGGATTTGATTCTCATATGCATTCAAGCATTAAATATTTTTTCAAATGGAATAATTTTAGTGCACAATCTTTGTTCTTGGTATACACGGTAAAGTTAAGCCCAAAAAATATTATATAAAAATTAAATATATGTACAAGTTAATTGTTAATACGGCTGCTGAGTATCGACTTCTAATACCGACTGCCTACTCCCGACCGACTACTACTACTGCTACTACTTGGCTTCTTGACAGACTTCTACTTGACTGCTTAGACGGCTTACATACATATGGATGCAAACTGTAGATTCTGTGAAGAGAATGAGGAGTCGGCCACACATATTCTGTGGGTTCCTGGGAATGTATATTCTTACGGAACAAACAATAAGACTCTGTGAAGTAGATTTTGTACTATTTTCTACTAAAGCAACAGGGCTTAAAGACCCACTCTAAACCCAAAAGGTGGCACAATATACCCGACGGTCGTAGTGCCATATACCCTAACAATAGTAATAACAATCTTTGTTCTTGATAAGCGAAACCTGATTTAACCAATCACTTGTATTCACATTTTTCTTCAGAAAGAAAGAATCTTGTTAAATACGTCAGGATGCAAAGAATTTTTTTGTTTAAAATACTGCTGGAATATGTGGTCTTCAAATAAATAACAATATGACCTCACAACCAGCTCTTCATTGCATATTATCCCACACTCTTCCTGTAGTGTCTGCATTAAAGTGTATAAACAATTCTCATATTCCTTCATTCCTGATTGCACGACTGCATGACTTACTTTAGCAAAAGATATTCGCACTTACGTGGACGTCCAATATCCAGTATCCAGTATTTGAATATTTGAGTTTCTTTGACAAATCGTCGTCTTGATTTGGCAGCATTCTCTCAGTCTTATACTGCAGTCTTATAGAACTTTATAGGTTTAAGTCAAGGTTTGCCATTTAACAATATGAATTATTTAACAACCGCTGAACATTTTAAAGTTCTACAAACACCAACACAAACACAAACATAAACTTTCTAATAGATTCTCCAAAAATGAATGATAAACGTCATGCGAGTATAGGTGCATACCTTCTTCTTCAGTAGAAAATAGTTTGATTAGATATGCAAATCATCGCGTACAGATACTCGTAACATAATCGTTGAACTCGCCTGAAACTGAACTCATCCTTTTTCCCTTTTATGCGGTAATTGCAAATTGGCTTGCATACAAATGGGTTAATTATGAGAAAGCGTTTCTGACGGACGCATATGCAGTTGGCGCAAATGAGCCGCACTCAACGAGTGTGAAATGACTGTGGCACATATTAAAAATGATTGAGTTTACAGTTCAAGCTGCACTGGCATTTCATACTTAGTCACCCATTAATAGCTCTTTAATCTGATTTATGTGTGGAAAAACAGATATTTCAGCATTTTAACCGAAAGAAAAAAATAATATAAAATACAAAAATAAAAACAAACAAAAAAAGTGAGATAAAAATGTATTAAATGAAAATTAAGAGTAAACGTATACATAATTATTGCAAACGCATTGACGAGTATCATTATACGAGGAGAACTGGGTAGAGGCCCCACCCCATCGCTCCACCATCCGCGTAATGCATTTTGAAATCGTTTATTTTAATAAGGATTTCATTATAAATTAATAAAATGAAATTAAAATCTGCATTTTTAACCGACAGTTAACACATCTCCTCCATGTGGCGGAGGAGATGCACACACGTATTTGGGTAAATAAATTTGTATATTTTGCAACTGTGTGCATTCTGAATAGCTGTGGTCTTTTAAAAATCGGTTGAAAATTGGAAAAAATTCAAAAAAATTTAAAAAAATATATATCAACATATACAATTGTAAGTCAATTCTAGTGCAGTGCGTATCGGCATCAGTTTTTTCCGATTTAAAATTTCAGTTAACTTTTTGATGTCCGCCGGCCAAGCGACCAATCATGCAGGCCAACATGTTTTATAATATGTTTATATAAAATGAAATTTCGTTTTAACTGCTACGAGAATTGATTCACACGATATATTGGATTCCTTAAATAACTTTTAAATCAATTTACCTCAATATCGCCGCTGTGAGGATGGCGTATGACAAATGCATCCGGAATGTTGCCTGGAATCTCCTGCTGTGGAATGAACAGCAACGCATGATGGAAAATCGCATTCAATAGTAGTGACATTATAACCACAGGCTTGTATTTACCAAATTTATCAACTAGAAAGCCTGAAATTAAAAATAAGGAAATTAAATCAAGTTTTTATGAAAATTATAACATAAAAGCGTTATTAAATCCATTAAGTGAACTGAAAACTGAAAGCTGAAAGCTGAAAGCTAAAGACTGAAAAAAGACTTATTGAAATATAATTAAAGTCCATACATCTCTCTGATTAATAATTTGCCTTTCCTGATATTTATTATTGTTAGGGGATGTGACACTGCGACCGTCGGGTCTATTGTGCCCGCCTTTCCTGGCAACTAATTCTATTCAAATCTAATCCGATTATATGATGACTTAACAAACTCACCATCAGGAATCTATCAACAAAACCAAGTATACAATACATACTCTATATGTTGAGAGAATGTGAATATTTTCTTACTTTTAATTTGACAACAGATTACTACCAAATTGAGATGCAGTCATAGAACAGCATTTGTCTTCAGCAGTAGATACAAGGGGTTCCTTCACATGTCTACGTTCTAACGTTCTAGTCTATTTCCAAAGATTAGTGAATAGTGTATAAACAAAGTTTCAATCGTTTATTTAGTTGATATTTTGGTTTTCTCTACTAGCTTAGAAGAACACTCCGAATGGCTAAACAAAATATTGAAGTGATCCATAAATGTTAATCCTAAAATGTATCTATTATAAACAAGTGCACTGCAAATAGAATAATAACTAAGGTATTATTCCAAGTTGAAGCATTAAATATAATAAAGCTACCAATGAAACAAATTAAAATCAAATCTATTAGGGGATGACTGGCTGCTATTAGCGTTTTATAAAGAATTGATCGATCCATCCAATTGATAGGATGGATGTGAAGAAAATCTCGATAATTAATTTTAACGGATAAATCGTTGGAAGCCTTCGAATGAAGTAGATTTAAAAATATTAGAGTTCTCTGACAGTATTCATCGACGAAGAATCTAGATTATATTATTACAATTTATTATCACATCTAATCACTTTTTCTACTACTTCTCCAATGACCATATCATCTGCATAACCAATTATTGATTTTCTTTCGGATTTTTTTTTCTTAAAATGACATGATATATTATCTCTTACAATAATGGGTCAAGCAATGATCCATATCTTCTTCTTCCTCATCTCCCAGTGGAGCATAGAACATCGGGCATTTTCTTATAGCGAACTCTTTTACGCAATTCACGGCTGATGTCAATCCATAGAGCAGGATCGACTTAACATTCGAGTTATAAATGCGAGTTTTGTTTGAGTGGTTTTTTGTTGGGATTTTCAGATAGAGCGTAACATGCCAAACGACGCTTTCGCATTGTTTATTCGCGATGTGATTTCCTCTTCTACACTGCCTTTTGAGGTTATAGTCATTCTGGCCGTTAACGTTGATATACAGCACTGAGTTAGCACTACAGTCACCTGACATTACTTTAGTCTTCATGATATTATCCTTATCACATATATATAAATATTCTCTTTGAATATTTATATACCATTCATCTTACCATTTTTAGCATGAGAGTATGAGAGAGTATGCAGTCCCAACTTGTCGAGTTTACTGTATTTATCCCTTCCCATTTAACGAAGGCTATATGTATGTATGTATGTGTAAATAAATATTCATCTTATAATAATAAACGAAAATGTCCATTAAAAGATGAACCAAAATTATCAGAACCGTGATGACGTCCTTAGTTTTTATTTTGCTAAGGTTGTATGTGAGACATGTGAAGAGGCTGCTCTGAAAGTGTACCACGTATTTTTATTTAAAAAAAAACTTTTCTTGTTTTTCTTTCTCAAGGTCCAAAAAGTTTTTCATCGCTTATTTGGATATTCTTGATTTAGATGTAAGAGAAAAGGTTTTTGTTACATATCAAATAATACTATATGTCATACATGTTAAATAGAGCTTTCATGCAAAATTCAAATTTTATCTACAGAGAAATGAAAGCAATGAAGACTTCTCAAGAAGCAAAAGTAACTTGACCTGCGAAAGATCTTCAGAGTCGGCAAACTTAAAGTGAATAAATAGACAATTTGGACTACCGAATATGATGTCAAAATAATTTGTAAAAGCTCTAAAAAGTTGCTGTCTGTAGTCTTTTGTCTGTTCGTCTTGTTTTAAGTGTCATTTAGATTTAAGATTATTATAAATGATAAATGATTTTTAAAATTATATTTAAAAAAAGACTCAAAACATGTGCTGGCATAGACAATCAAAAATAATCTCATCAAAGTCGCGTAAAAAAACCATAATGAACGTTTTTTTGTATCTAAAATTAATATGAATTAGATATTTGCAACAAGTTGCATCATTAACTGATTCGAGTTAAATAATAATAGCATAATAAAGCTTTAATCGAAGAGCAATTTCGAAAGACAAATTTACAAATGAAGTTATGCCCAGTGCAGGCTACGACCCAAGGGAATCGAAATCAAAACTAACTGAGAGTGGTGCCCACAAAAATCGACCAGACTGAAATTTCGTACTGGAATATATCAGGCGAACTGATGAGAGTCACAAGAAGAGCGTGAGCATTATCTGCTCAAACTCTGTCCTCTGTTATTGCACATAAAAGCTGTGTCGTCCTAGTAAATAACCATGTAATCCTTCTCAACCAAATATTGAAAATATTACCAAGACGTAGGTGAGCACGATAGTCATTCATTGCATCTAACAACAAAGGCACTAGCCAAGTATTGATCATTGATTTTTATAATTACATGTGAGGCAAACATTCCATCAAGTGTTTTATGAATTGGAGTCACCCTTTCAGTAAATTAATAATAGATATAGAAAAAAACCATTCAAAAAGAATAACATTCAAGATATAATGCTTCCATGACTTGCAGCATGACTTGTCTGTCAAGCAATCAACCAATCTAAATATGAGGTGCATACTCATATATGGAAACGTTTGCGACATTCGAGATAAGGAAGAAGATATCACAAATTATTTATAATCATTTACATAAATGTGAAAAATTAAAATAAATCAAACTATATTCACTATCTAAACAATCCAGAACAACAAACAAAAGAATAAACATTTCCTGAGAAAATAGATATAAATTTGTTCAGACGCTAGGGCATTTCCAAATATTTAATAAAGATTTCATTATTTAAAATTTTAAATGCTCAAAGCATAAATAAAAAAAAATGAATTTATTGCATAAGGTGGAAAGTAATGGATCATAACTCCAATTCACTATTTGATAAAGTAATCGGGTACTGCAATTAGCAAGAAGTAGCTTATAATATTAGATAAATATTGTTAAAATAGTTTTCGTGTGAACTTTTTTTTAAGTTTCTTACCCTTTGAGAACAATGAGTAATAGTTGTGTAGCTTGGAACTTATATAAAGGATATATACTGTACAGAGATAGGCCAAGAACAAGATGGGATGAGAACGTGTATAGTTACGCAAGAACGATTAGAGTACTGAACTGGAAGAGCGTAGCAGAAGATCGGGACAGATGGAGGCAGATCGTGAGAGAGACCAAGGTTCGCACTGGACTGTAGTGCCAAATAAGAAGAAGAAGAAGATATAAGTTTCATGTGCAGATACATTAAACACGATATATTCCGAAAAACTCTTTCTAAAACTTTTCTTATAAATAAAACTGAATATAGAATATACTCCTATTATTGTTTTGTAATTTTTAAGGAGCACACGCCCGGAAATAGAAGATCAAGAACTGAATAAAATTTATTAACATGTCCTAGAATGTCAATGGAGGACAGTTGAATATTTGCTTATGGACAATGAAGGTACACCTAACGCTGTGTTAACATTCCCAAATTCGTATACCAGACCTGCTTGCCCTCAATTATTTATTTTAGGTCATCTATCTAATATCTAATATTTTCGATGTGGTATATTAACACTGAAAACTATCAGTTGAAAGTGTAGAAAATGGTGTCGAACCGAAGTACAATTGGAATTCTAAATAAAAATATATCGTCAATAGTTGCCATTTCATCAAATTAAAACTGGATGAAAAGCTCCATTGATTTAAAGAAAACTTTTTTTACTGTTAGGAAATATTTTTATTGTTAGTAATACGCTCTATGTAGAAATAAGTTACTTAATGGGTTGAAATTCCACCACTCCCCCCCTCTAAAATGAATCTAGAGATTATATGTCTATTATTTAGACGGTCACGCCTATCTATATATTTTCAATTCACGCCTGGAGCAAATTTCTGTCATTAGGACTGTCTCTGGGAAATTTTTTTTGGCTTGGTTAATATTTAAAGCGTAGAAATATCTGTGGTCTAAGCAATCACTTCCTGAATTTACGATGCTTGGGAAACAACCAGCTTAAAATACGACATAAATATTCGTATGTTGTGTAATAACAAATATTTGTTGTTGTTTAGGAAATATTGAGAAATCCGTGTAAGCCGTGTATGTAATCAAAAGTGCTGTAAAATTTTCCTATTATGCGTCAGAGCTCACTAGAATGCGAGTAAACTCAGTGGTAATAAAAATTTTTGTTTAAATGTTTGCTCAAGTCTACAGTGTATACTCTTATATTTATTTTAATATTATATTTTAATTTATTATACTGAAATATAAATTGTCTTAAGTCTGTGTGGACTTACCTGTTATGGGTGGGCTCAGGAACGTTGTGAACGGCAAAGCTAAATAAATGATGGCGATTTCCTCAACTGTTAAGCCAATACTTTGCATGTGTATGGTTAGGTATGGCAGCAAGGATGAGGTGGCTGTAAGAGAATGAATTCGAGATAAACAAACATTATTTCATATTTTCATCTTTGTGATTTTAAGATTATATTAAATATTTTTTAAAATAAATTTTATTATATTTAAATTGCAATTGATAATAATGGCATTGTAAAGTTTAATTAAATGAACAAGAAGAACTGTGTTGTCTCTTAAAAAGCCTGTCATACAACAACGGATGCAAATCTCTTTATGACCTATCGAAGTTCATTAAATTGAAACATAAGCTTACATTCCAATTTAAATACACATTTCAATATGCAAAATAAGATATTTTCATATTAATGCATTGCTCTTGCATAAGAATCATTGTTTATATTTATTTTTGTACTGTACATCTTTAATTTGCATTTTATTTTGTTTTAAAATTTAAATTATACATTCCCATCAATGCACTTTACGTACTTTACCAGAAGTACGTACTTATATTGGAGACCCCTTCCGCTCCTGCAACCGCATTTTGTTCCTCTGGCACTTAACCCACCAGAATTAAAGGCGAACCCAATAGAGAAATATTTTTGTATTTTTGTATTTTTGTATATCTGTACATCCGTATATCTGTATATCTGTATATTTATATTTGCTTTACAATGCAGTATCTGCAATGGCACATTTGTTTTTATAGCCAAACAAATTCACACAGATACACATATCTGCTCCATTCTGTATATTAAAATGTTTTTATTCAAGAGTGAAAGGAATTTTATGCAGTATGCATGAGTTGAGATACACAGATATGACGACTAAATTGGCAAAATATTTAAAGTCAATTAAATTTGTCAGACACATGGTCAGATGTTTGTGATTTGCTTATTTGTTATATGAATTTCGAAATCAATCAGCATGTAATGGTTGGGTTTATACGGCAACATACCTATATGCGAAAAGGCCCATGTGGTTTATTAAAGACACAGATAAAATCACACAAAGCATAAAAGCAGAAAGCAAATTCTTATTATTTCGAAAATTCCTTAAACTATTCCTTTCAACGAAACTATGAAGAGACTTAAGCACAGTATGACTCGTAATCGTTTTCTCGATTGTGGTCACAATAGAGCGGCCAGGTTCACGTTCCAGAGTCTTTTGTCTACACAAATGACTAAATGCCATTCGCCCTGACAACAAGAACAACAAGGACAACAAGGACAACAAGGAATGTAATAATGCAGTCAGGCATTTGGTTTACTTTAATGTTTCTCTAACAAAGAATTCCATCATCTGCATATTCTATTACTTTTATTGACAAGTTCCTCAGTTGACAATGTCTTCTTTGCTGGTGGCACATTTATAACTAATTTAAACACTAGGTACACACCAATGAGCTGACTGTCTCATGGTAAATTCTCACACTAGATAATATCCTCATCATCTGCGAGATCACTGCTCGCAGATTCACAATAGAATTGACAACAGATCTTTATCTAAAATGTCTAGAGACTAAAAAACTGTCCTCGCCCAATCAGATTGTGGATATGAGACCATGCTAAGCCCCTACCTTCCATGCGCATACGTACTCCATAGATATATAACCCATTATTCTTATCTTAAAAATGTTTTTTGATGATTTCATCAAAATCAACTGCATAGTTGGTAGAATTATATGAGTCTTAGAAATAAGTTATATGAGAGTTATATAAGTTATATGTGAATATGAGACCTTGCTAAGCCCCTACCTTCCATGCGCATACGTACTCCATAGATATATAACCCATTATTCTTATCTTAAAAATGTTTTTTGATGATTTCATCAAAATCAACTGCATTGTTGGTAGAATTATATGAGTCTTAGAAATAAGTTATATGAGAGTTATATAAGTTATATGTGGATATGAGACCTTGCTAAGCCCCTACCTTCCATGCGTATACGTACTCCATAGATATATAACCCATTATTCTTATCTTAAAAATGTTTTTTGATGATTTCATTAAAATCAACTGCATAGTTGGTAGAATTATATGAGTCTTAGAAATAACAGAAGTTAAGATATATCTAAACAAGTGCAGTGGCTTAATTTGTGACTGTGTGTGGGATTCTACTGTTTTCATTGATGAAATAAATAAATTGAAATAAAAATTTTAATGATTTTATTTTATTTTAATATTATTTTATTTAGAAAAAATCATTAAATGAAGCTATGAAATGTTTTATCTTTTGTTGGAATATCTATCGCTGTTTTATAATATGTAGGTATATCGTAATTTGCACCAACTCATTTTAATAATAACTTTTAAACATTTATATATTTATTTATTTATTTATTTATTTACAAAACAGAAAAAAAGACTTTTTAATGCCATATAAAAATATAATACAAATATTTTAATCTATAAAATTTTCTAATTAAAAAAAGATTTCAACACTTCACTTTTTATCACACTTTGACGTGTGTAAATTCCACAAAAATGGAAATTTAAGTTCATATATTTTTATCATATCTCGTAATTACTCTAATTGCCTTTTAATAACTGAAAAGCATTTTGTGATACAAACAGACATGTATCTATTCGCACGTATCTAAAGCAAGCAGCAAGTACGAATGTATCTAGAATTTTGCTCGAAGCGATAAAAGCAAGAAGCCACGCAGTTAATTTGGTTTAAGCTCTTGAACATTTTTAAGCATTTAACAATGTTAATTAGATAAAATTTGCTGTTGTTGTTGCTGTTGTTGTTGTTGTGTACACAACAACATACACATACATACAAATGTATGTGTATAGATACTTTTGAAGTTAATGGCGGGAAAACACCAGCATAAAACTATAATCGCATTAATAATCATAAAAGTCTCAGTGACAAGACTCATCAAGAATTACGTATGCTCACTTGGATAGGTAATGATTTAGATATGCATTTATGGGGCGTAGACGTTGTGTAGTTTTTGGGTTTGACGTCAACATTTTTATTACTTTTATGCAGCACAAATAAAGTCATTTATTATATTAAAAACAGCTATAAAAAGTTTTTAATTTGTATTTATTTAAAAGTAAATACACTTTAAATAAACTTATTTGATTTATAGAAATTCTTTTCAAATTAAATACAGTGGCAACATTCAATTTGTTTAGCTTAATTAACTTCAAATTTAAAACTAAAAGTTAATTAGCATTAAGTACTATAGACGACTAAATAACTTAAGTACTTGATAGTGACAGACAACATTAATTTTCCTTTTGCAATTAAAAATTCACTTCCAATAGGGAAAAAAATCACTTCAATCACTTCAATAAGAAATTGATAAACAGAAAACTGATCTTGGACTCTTTTATATAACTGATAATTAAACCAGCATTACAGAGCCCTGAAGTTATATGCGAAAACTCACGGGCTATCCTAGTTAGCACTATCCAATCTTAGAGTAATCAATCTCCACACGGGGCGGTACGCAGATCTTAGATTAATCACTGAATAATCATGAAGCTTATAAGGAATACATAAATTAGTCAATGATATGGGTGGGACCCTGTAGTACCCCCAACTATTAAAAAGTAAAAGTGCCTAGTTGCGCTGACTCAAAAAATGGATCAACATACATACATACATATTTCAATAAGTATTATGTTTTTATTATGGAAGATACATACATATATGCATTATATATAGCAAACAGCCCAAAGCACGGCCCACGGGCTTCATGCGGTCCGGACTGTGACGGACTAACCAAATAATTCAACCGTCACTTCTATATAGATGTGTAGCATTCACTACGATTCCCAGCTAGAAATTGCACAAAGCCAGGCTCTGAGAAAACTTTTCAAGGTACCATGGTACATTAGGCCCTATGCTCCACTGGGAGATAAGGATAAGAGAGAGAGAGAGATGTTACATTAGGACGAATAAAATCCTCAGGAACTTCAAGATTGATCCGATCGAAAAATACATAAAGAATAGAACCCTGAAATCATTTACGAAAACTGACAGGTTTACCAGCACCGCGTTATCGAACCTCAGAATGGTTACAGGCTCCTCGGGGAGGCATGCAGATCTGAGGTCAGTTATTGCTTAGTGTGAGAGAGTAAAAGTGCTCAAGTGCACTGATACAACTAGCCTCAACATAATAATAAATAATTTATTACATGTCATGTTAATTTACTTGTTTGGCAAGGACTTTAGTGTGTACTTCTTTATACAACCGGTTCAAAAAACTCGTAAAAAACTCGTGCCTTGAGTCATTACATTTAAAATAAAATATTTTTTGTATGGCAACAACTAATATTAATAATGTTGATATTGATAGAACTGTAAAAGATAGATCAATGAAGAATTAATAAAACTAAATTTAATATTATTGCCGTATTTTTATTTTTCTCCGGTGATTCAGAGATTTGAATTGCCCGCGATCTAATATGGTCTGTACAGCGGTCATATATAAATTCCATATTCTAGCTCAATTTAAAACTTGTCAAAGAATTAAAAAAGTGAATAAAAATAATAAATTTATTATTAAATTTATTTATTATTTTGATTTTAAGTACTTTAAATTTTTATAAAAATCTTGTATTCTGACTGAATTTCGTATTAGAACATTCATTCTTATTATATTAATCAAACATTACAACTCATCTAAATATGCATTTCCAAAAAAACAATACTGACAGCTCACAACACCTTTAATATTTATATAATTTAGAATATAATATAGAATAGACGAAAATTGAACCCACTAAAATCACCTCTTAGAAATGAATATGGAAGATAGTAAAAAGAGAGAGAGATTAGAGCAGAAGACTTAACACCTAGCGGACTAGGTTCATCTAGGCCAGAAAGCATGTGCGTAAAAATAGACGAAAATTAGAAATATTCAACAAATGTATTATAGAAACTAATTTCATCTACTTGAGAATTACAAATTCCAAATATTTCAAGAGCTGTTGTCCAATGTTATCCAATGCCCCAAAGGGAACATTGAGCATAACAGCGTAAAAGCTAGGTCCCATTCAACTATGTAGTATTATTACTAAATAATAGGATATAAATATTTAT